TTGTGTGTCCCCATAGCAAGCCATTTGCTATGGGGACAAATGTTGCGTGCTTGCTCCCGACCTGTGTGTCTATGGCGCTGCACTCCATAGAAACACACAGTGGCCCCTCCACTGCACTTAATTAATAGCAGCAGGAGCCAATGGAAGTGAGGGGAGAAGAGATGCATCCGTGCTCAGCGCTGATCTCTTCTCCCCTCTCTTCCTCTTTACATAGGAAAGGGGGAGCACAGGAAACCTAAAAACTTTTTCTAGGTTCAGTATCACTTTAAGCTGCAGTGGTGGCTGGATGGTGTTGTACATATGCCTCAATAACTTTCCTTGGCAGTTGCGGAAAAAAAATTATACTTCATGTTTGGCGTGAAGTACTACATAGTTACATAGTAAGTCTGGCTGAAAAAAGACAAAAGTCCATCCAGTGCAACCATAAAAAAAAAGTTATAATCCTACACACACAGTTGATCCAGAGGAAGGCAAAAAAACTCAGCAAAGCATAATCCAATTTGGTCCTGCTGGGGCCAGAAACAACTCTATTCCCCATTTTCACAGCTCTTACTGTCAAGAAACCTTTCTGTGTTTGGAGATTAAATCTCTTTTCCTCCAGACATAAAGAGTGCCCCCTTGTCCTCTGTGATGACCTCAGGGTGAATAACTCTACACCGAGTTCACTATATGAACCACTGATGTATTTATACATGGTGATCATATCCCCCCTTATGTATTATACATGGAGATCACATCCCCCCCTTATGTATAATACATGGTGATCATATCCCCCCCTTCATATCCCCCTTATGTATTATACATGGAGATCATATCCCCCCTTATGTATTTATACATGGAGATATACATGGAGATACATGGAGATCGTATCCCCCCTTATGTATTATACATGGAGATCGTATCCCCCCTTATGTATTATACATGGAGATCGTATCCCCCCTTATGTATTATACATGGAGATCGTATCCCCCTTATGTATTATACATGGTGATCATATCCCCCCTTATGTATTATACATGGAGATCGTATCCCCCCTTATGTATTATACATGGAGATCACATGTATTTCATGGAGGATCATATCCCCCCTTATGTATTATACATGGAGATCATATCCCCCCTTATGTATTATACATGGAGATCATATCCCCCCTTATGTATTATACATGGAGATCATATCCCCCCTTATGTATTATACATGGAGATCATATCCCGCTTATGTATTATACATGGAGATCATATCCCCCCTTATGTATTATACATGGAGATCATATCCCCCCTTATGTATTATACATGGAGATCATATCCCCCCTTATGTATTATACATGGAGATCATATCCCCCTTATGTATTATACATGGAGATCATATCCCCCATATCCCCCTTATGTATTATACATGGAGATCATATCCCCCCTTATGTATTATACATGGAGATCATATCCCCCCCTTATGTATTATACATGGAGATCATATCCCCCCTTATGTATTATACATGGTGATCATATCCCCCCTTATGTATTATACATGGAGATCATATCCCCCTTATGTATTATACATGTTGATCATATCCCCCCTTATGTATTATATACATGGAGATCATATCCCCCCTTATGTATTATGCATGGAGATCATATCCCCCCTTATGTATTATACATGGAGATGGCGTATCCCCCCTTATGTATTATACATGGTGATCATATCCCCCATTATGTATTATACATGGAGATCGTATCCCCCCTTATGTATTATACATGGAGATCATATCCCCCTTATGTATTATACATGGAGATCATATCCCCCCTTATGTATTATACATGGAGATCATATCCCCCCTTATGTATTATACATGGTGATCATATCCCCCCTTATGTATTATACATGGAGATCATATCCCCCCTTATGTATTATACATGGAGATCATATCCCCCTTATGTATTATACATGGAGATCATATCCCCCCTTATGTATTATACATGGAGATCATATCCCCTTATGTATTATACATGGAGATCATATCCCCCTTATGTATTATACATGGTGATCATATCCCCCTTATGTATTATACATGGTGATCATATCCCCCCTTATGTATTATACATGGAGATCATATCCCCCCTTATGTATTATACATGGAGATCATATCCCCCCTTATGTATTATACATGGAGATCATATCCCCCCTTATGTATTATACATGGAGATCGTATCCCCCCTTATGTATTATACATGGAGATCATATCCCCCCCCCCTTATGTATCATATACATGGAGATCATATCCCCCCATAATCTCCTCTTCTCAAGAGAGGATAAATTCAGTTCCTCTAATCTTTCCTCGTAGCTGATCTCCTCCATGCCTCTTATCAGTTTGGTTGCCCTTCTCTGCATTTTCTCCAGTTCCCCAATGTTCTTTTTTGTGAATTGGTGCCCAAAACTGAACTGCATGTTCCAGATGAGGTGTTTCTAATGATATGTACTGGGGTAATATGATATCTCTCTCTCTGGAGTCTATACCTCTTTTAATACAAGAGGGGATTTTGCTGGCTTGATGCTTGCCATTGTTAAGCTTGCAATCTACCAGAACTCCCAGATCCTTCTCCACCATTGATTCCCCCAGTTGTACCCCCCTAGTATGTATGATACATGCATATTCTTAGCCCCCAAGTGCAGAACCTTACATTTATCAACATTAAACCTCATTTGCCAAATAGCTGCCCAATTAAACAGTGCATTGAGGTTGGCTTGTAAGTTGGAGACATCCTGTAAGGACGTTATTCCACAGCACAGCTTGGTGTCATCTGCAAAGACTGAAATGGGGTTTTTAATCCCAGACCCTAGACAGTACTGCTGCTAAACACAATCCATCCAAGTGAATGGGGCCATGCAACAACTGCATGTTGTGTAACACACGCCTTTGCGGCTCAATGGTGCAGCTTATTTAGGGTTAAAACAGGTGGTGAGAAGGCAACTATCACCTGTCAGCTGCCTGTCAACCACTTTCTGAAAAACAGTCCACCTTGATAGGCTTTTTAGAGAGGCCACCAGGGCTGCCGTTAGTGTAAATGAGCCCAAAGGGGTCAAAAAGTGAAAAAAAAAGATCAGCAGGGAAAATCAGTACATTAATAATGCACGAGAGAGATATGCAGTTATTATTATTATTATACAGGATTTATATAGCGCCAACAGTTTTCTCAGCGCTTTACAATATAACGGGAGACAATACAGCAACAATACAGTTCAATACAAGAGGGATAGGAGGGCCCTGATCCTGGGAGCTTACAATCTAAGAGTTCACTGTAGTCCCATCTGCAGGGTTCATTCATATTTCCATTCACACACTTTCTTTTTTCTTAGTTTGGGGAAGAGTTGTTAGCAGGGACGGACTGACAACTCATGGGGCCCCCGGGCAATAGGGGATCATGGGGCCCCTGTGTCCTTGCCCAAACTCAAAAAAGCCTATGAAAAAGGTACCAGGGGCATCTCATGGGGCCCCCTACTGACCCCCGGGCCCTCGGGCAGTGAGATGCGCCCCTGGTACATAAGAAAATGACATAACATCAATATATAAATACATAACCACAATAATAACAACATGACTGAAATACAAATATTAGAAAATAATAAAAGTTAACGCTTGCAGTGATTAAATAAAGCTAAATGGCGTTGCCTTAAAATCATTTACTTTATTTATTGAACCTCTATGATACAAACCATAATTACTAGCACTGCATAATTCCATGAACACATTCTCAAGGAAGACATTTACATTTTAGCTTTTTTTGGGGAGGTAAGTAACAGGTTTATATATTTTTTTTATCTCTCCTTGCAATATAGGCAACATATGTTTGTCACTATACCATTGACAACCTGCTGTTTCTTACTGCAGAATTTATTACGCATAATATGAATAACTGTTCTACTGAAGATGTTCTGAGAAAGAACAATGTCTCAGCATGTACTGGAGGCTGGTATGTCATGTTTTGAAAACAATAGCGCCCTCTGCAGGAATCATTGCCATAGCACATTATTATTAGGAGCATGAATGTAGGCACACTGACCGCAGTAAAAACTGTCAAAGTTTCTTTAGCCAAAGGTCTGTTTGTACAATTACATATTACTTTTTGTTTACTGGTGACATCTACAAAAAGTATGTACTTTTAAAAATTATATATAAAGATAGTTTGCTGATTTTCCTTATTCTTTGATGACGGTGTAGAGTGTTCAACTGAAACACAAAAAAGGTCAATAGGGAAAATAAATGGTTCTGTTAACCTTTTTTCAAAGCAATGCACTTTTACTGGAAAAATATGTACCACAACCCCCTGAGAACTTTAGAGAATGACTCAAATATAATTGCAGTGCTGAAATACATCATAAGTCATAACAAATGTGTCATCATAAATGTGTCACAAATCATTAGAAGTCTTCCACCATTCAAAGTCCATAGACATAAATATACATGCAGATTTGTGCATTTAACCCCTCGCCTACAGGGCACTTATACCCCCTTCCTCTCCAGGACAATTTCCAGCTTTCAGCGCTGTCACACTTTGAATGACAATTGAGCGGTCATGCACCACTGTACCCATATGAAATTTATATCATTTTTTTGTCACAGATAGAGCTTTATTTTGGTGGTATTTAATCACCTCTGGGTTTTTTTTTTTTTTAAACAAACCAAAAACCACTGAAAATTTTGAAAAAAAAAATTTTTTTCTTAGTTTTTGTTATAAAATTTTGTAAATAAGTGATTTTTCTCCTTGACTGATGTGCGCTAATGAGGCTGCAGTGATGGGCACTGATCGGCTGCACTGATGGACACTGATAGGTGGTACTGATGAGGAGGCACTGGTAGGTGGCACTGATGGTCATTAACAGGCATCATTGATGGGCACTGAAATGCAGCACTGATATATGGCACTAATATATGGCACTGATAGCTGGAACTGATAGGTGGCACTGACTGGCACTGTTAGGCGGCACTGATAGGCAGCACCGACGGGCACTGATAGGCGGCACTGATGCACACTGATAGGCGGCACTGACTGGCACTGATAGGTGGCACTGATTGGCATTGATAGGTGGCACTGACTGGCACTGATGGGTGACACTGAAAAGCAGCTCAGATGGGCACTGATATGTGGCATTGATGTGCACTGGTAGGCACTGAAATGTGGCACTGATGGGCGCTGGCAGGTGGAATGGATGAGCACTGAGAGCTGGCACTGATGGACACTGACAGGTGGCACTGCTGGGGCTACCCTGATGATCAGTGCACATGTCACCTCCGAGGAATGCCGATTACCGGCTCTCCTCTCCTCACGAGCTGTCAGCGGGACAGCTCGTGAGGAGAGAAATGCCGATAACCGGCATTTCCCTGTTTACATGCGATCAGCTGCGACTGGACACAGATGATCACATGACCGAGCCGACAACTGCGGCTCTTTCCGTGGATCGGTGATCCGCTGTGTGCAAGGGACACGGCGTACCGCCGATCTCCGCGCTGTGCGCTCCCAGAGCCGCGCATGCGCGGTGAGAAAGGGAGGACTTCATATGACGTCTTCTCAGAACTAAAGAACCGCCTTGCGCCGTCATTGGACTATATGGCGGGAGGCGGTTAAATATTTCTTCAACCACTGTGCTGGAATATTCACCAAAGCCAGTGTAAATCTTCTCTCACCAGGCAGAAAAAATGCACACTTTTCGCAACACAATGCTGCCAAAAGACACAAAACAGAGTTCACAGTACGAGGTTGTATCACACAGTTTCGAGACTAGTTTTGTAACACACCAACAGATGGCAGTACAAGGCTGCAAGCACGGTCACAAGGTGCACCAGCCTTCACAAGTCATTGTGCCAGAAGACATCATCCTGTGTACATCAGGAGCTGTGTAACTGGTGCTATTCTGACCACATGCATTACCACGTCTGCTATTTCATTATGGACAGCAAGTTAGAACAAAGAGCAAACATGAAAATTCTGTGTGAAACCCGTACCCATGAAGGATGGGTCATCCATGGCACACTGATGGAGTTTTTGGCAGACTTCGATGCACTGTTCCTTCTGAGTCAGCAGCCTGGGGATAAACTATGCAGCACAACGGGGCATGTTTAAATCACACACGGGGATTGCCTGTACTGTTCCATATAACACACCGAGAATGGCAGCAATGTTGTGGATTGTTCTCTGACGATCATCATGCACAAGTTGCCAAATGGTTTACATATTTACGGGGGTTTGAGCTCGTTGAAGGTCTTCCTGATCTCTTGTCCTCTTCCATTCATGTTCTTCAGATGTAGATTAAAGGAAAGTCCAGGAGGCCACACTAAAGCACATATCCACTGATGTTCTTGTGCTCTTGAAGCATGTGTGCTTTGTAACACACCAACAGATGGCCGTACAAGACAACACACACAGTCACAAGGTGCACCGACCTTCACAAGTCAGTGTGCCAACAGACATCATCCTGTGTACATCGGGAGCTGTGAAGCTGGTGCTATTCTGACTACATGCATTATCACATCTGCTATTTCATCATGGACAGCAAATAAGAACAAAGAGCAAACATGAAATTCTGTGTGAAACCCGTACCCATGAAGGATGGGTCATCCATGGCACACTGATGGAGTTCTTGGCAGACTTCAACGCGGTGTTCCTTTTGCATCAGCAGCCTGGGGACAAACTATGCAGCACAATGGCGCATGTTCAAATCACACATGAGGATTGCCTGGACTGTTCCGTATGACATACCGAGAATGGCAGCAATGTTGTGAATTATTCTCTGACGATCATCATGCACAAGTTGCCAAATGATTTCCATATTTTTGGGGGTTTGAGCTTGTTGAAGGTCTTCCTGATCTCTTGTCATCTTCCAGTGATATTCTTCAGCTGTAGATTAAAGGAAAGTCCGGGAGGCCACACTAAAGCACATATCCACTGATGTTCTTCTGCTCTTGAAGCACATGTGCTTTGTAACAACACACCAAAAGATGGCAGCACAAGGCTGCATGCACGGTCACAAGGTGCACCGACCTTCACAAGTCAGTTTGCCAAAAGACATCATCCTGTGTACATCGGGAGCTGTGTAACTGGTGCTATTATGACCACGTGCGTTACCACATCTGATATTTCATCATGGACAGAAAGTAAGAACAAAGAGCAAACGTGAATTCTGTGTGAAACCCATACCCATGAAGGATGGGTCATCCATGGCACACTGATGGAGTTCTTGGCAGACTTCAACGCGGTGTTCCTTCTGTGTCAGCAGCCTGGGGACAAACTTTGCAGCACAATGGCGCATGTTCAAATCACACATGAGGATTGCCTGGACTGTTCCGTATGACATAGTGAGGATGGCAGCAATGTTGTGGATTATTCTCCGACAATCATCATGCACAAGTTGCCAAATGGTTTCCATATTTTCGGGGGTCTGAGCTCGTTGAAGGTCTTCCTGATCTCTTGTCATCTTCCAGTGATGATGTTCTTCAGATGTAGATTAAAGGAAAGTCTGGGAGGCCACACTAAAGCACATATCCACTGATGTTCTTCTGCTCTCGACTTATGAAGGTCGGTGCTCCCTATGACTATGCGAGTAGTCTTGTGCTGCCATCTGTTGGTGTGTCTTGAAACTTTTTGATACCACATCATAGTTTGGATAGGTTTCACCCTTGTTCACTCAGGATCTGGTCAACAACTTATCCTCTCTTCTACTGGGGACAGCACTCAGCACTTGAAAAATCTTTCTTCTCCACAAGTAAAAACCACCCAAAAAGTTACTTTATTTCAAAAACAGATATCTCCAGACATGTAAACCAAAGCCAAATAAAAAAAACCTCAAAGCCACTATTTACTAATATCAATCGGCACCACTCAGAAAACCAATGTGGTGGCGTGATGTCATAATTGTAGTTTTACTTTTTTTTCAGTGCAGTGTGAACTAAAACTGTAGGATTTAAGGAAACTGCCTTGTGTTTTCCTTGGGACTGCACAAGGCAATGCTGCCCAACACTGCCCAATAGGGCTGGTGTGAAGGAGCCGTTAGTATTTCTGGTCCTCCAGAGCTCTCAGTATGAGCAGACAATGGTGTCAAGCAGAAATGAGCAGGGCCTCTTGCAAACTGGAACATAGGGAACCATGTATAAACAAAGAGAAAGAGAGGAAAGCACCACTACCTAAGTGTAGTGTTTATTAAAACATTAATAAATGAAAACAATAAATATGCACTAACATGTAAAAGATAATAAAAAGCGTATCAATAAGGCTATGTTCACACTAGCTTTGTTAGCAGGCGTTAGACAGGCATTTGCGGGGCAGTTGCGAGGCATTTGCAAGGCATTTGCGGAGCGTTAATACCATTAAATTTCATTATAGGCATTTGTGGTGCAGTTTTAATGCTTGGCAAACACCTATCAAAGGGCTCGTTTACACTTAACTAATTTCTAACTCTTGCCAAATGCCCCTATAGCATTTGACAGGCGTTAGACAGACATTTGGGAAGCATTTTTAAAGCTCCCCAAATGCCCTGTGTTTGTGAGACCAACAAAGCCAAGCATTAAAAACCGCACCACAAACGCCTATAATGAAGTTTAATGGTATTAACATTCTACAACCGCCTCGCAACTGCCCTGCAAACGCCTGCCAAGCGTCACCATAGACTTGAATGGGAGACTTCAACTTCTCCTGACATGACATGAGGTATCAATTTTGCCGCGACGTGCCGCTAACGCTTCAGTGTGACACAGCACTATATGCTGCCATGTGCAGAATTTTCATAGGCATTTGAGCAGCGTTAAAAACACTTCCCAAATGCTTGTCTATTGCCTGCTAACAAAGCTAGTGTGAACTTAGCCAAGCGCCTCAAAAACGCGCATAGGGCGTTTGAGGAGAGCTAAAAACGCTTCCCAAACGCCTGTCTAATGCCTGTCAAACGCTGTGGGGGCATTTGGCAAGTGTTAGAAATTAGTCAAGTGCGAACAAGCCCTAAGTCTCCAACAGGTAATGACCTTCCAGGTGGTCAGTGGCTAGCAAGCCCCTCTGCATGGATGTGATGTGCTTGGAACCAGGAAGCTGACATGGGGAACACCAGGAAGAGCCAGCAGAAGCAGCAGACTGAGGGTGTATATCACATGGATGAGAACCACTGTGGACAGCAGGGAAGTGTTGAAGGCCCACAAGATGGCCGTGATGATGTCATGTGTGATGTAGATGGGCATGGTTATGCATTCCAGGTGTGGTCCCCTTTATCCCCATAAGATATTGTAATATGTTAGTGGGAAATTAGAAAGTTTGTGATGACCTCTTGCATTATTTCCAACCATCCCACCAATGGTATACAACAGTGTACACTTGTATGCCATCTTCATATCTCCTCTGAGTGATAAAGGATCAATGCCTCCTTTCTGGCCTGTGTATCTTCCAATACAACAGATGATCAAATCAAGAGAGCTACTAATTCACAAATTCTTTAATTGTCTTTGTATTGAATGTGCTTGAACTGCAAATAATCACAAAAGTTGGAAGTCAGCCAACCATGTGTAGCGCAACCCCCTGAAAGGGCCGCTGAATTTAACTGGTTCTTTCCCAAATAGTATTGCCCATAGGTTGCCCATCCACCCCGGCAGCAGTTCATATACACTGGCTCCAAACAGTCTAGGGAAGCCATTCTTTTCAGAGCTTTCTAGGAGTTCCTTGAGCTGTGGCTAGATGAACTTCCATCTTATCATAACTGCATAATTCGGGGTCTAAAACCACTTGACAGAGCCAGCATTATGACACCAATGATCTATTCAGCTCTCTGTAAAGATGGCATCCTGATCATTCTATAAAGGGGGCATTCTTTCCTTTCACCATCAATATAAAGGTCATTATTCCCACTGACCCGGCTTTAGAAAGGGTTCCTTGAGCCCTGTAAATTATTTAAGGGGTTCCTCTGGGCTAAAAAGGTTGAGAAAGGCTGTGTGGGGGGGCCTTTTAAAGTTTATTGCTTGTAGAACATCATAGGGGAGGAAGAGGGACTTGGCCTGGGATACTCCAAAATGCTCAAAAGCAGTAGTGTTCAAAGGACAGTCTTTCCTAACAGTAGTGGTATTGGTTGAGAACAGTCCAAGGCCTCTCAGCTGAGGACTATGGGGCAAAATGTGGGCATCTGTTTACCGCGCACCAACTATGTGTACTACGTGTACAACTATTGGTACAGTGCAGACTGTAGCACACAGTCTCAGGGATCAGCTTAAAGTCACCACTCACAATTCCCCAGGACAACTGCCTCCTTCCGGTTTTCTCCAGACACATCCCAGTAATCAAGATTGCTTCTCTCAGGACTGGATCTCTGGTGGTGCGGTTCTGCATTCAGTTTTGAGCAAAAGTCCATTTGAGCCTTAAAACCTTGCATTTTTGTAGCCTCCTTGAGCAATTTTTCAGTTCATGAGCTGCCAGTGCAAACCCCTACACCTCTTGAACCCTTCTGGAGAGAAGGAACCCCCTGGTCTCCAGTGTTTCAGACTATTTATCCACATTCCCGGCCCCCTACT